TATTTACTTCCATATATATATCCTACTTACATTTTTTATTTTTGCACCACGTCAGTAAATTTGTTCTTTGTTTTCTTTTTCAACTGCATTTTAATTTTTCAGCGATATAGAGACATTATAAAGAGTAATTTTTATCTTAAGATAATTATTCCTTATTCAAATATATCGCACTCATCGTAACGGATGTGTCCTGATGAAGACCTTTACATTTTTCCATTAAAAGTGACCGGTGACCTATCTACGCCAAAATCTTATAATTAAAATGCAATCAATTGGAATTTAAAGATAATTTGTGATTAAAAAGTTATTAATTAATTATTTATTTTTTTACATTTATAAGTTCAAACTTCTTTAAGGGCAAGTTCGGTGGTTAATTTAAATATCTTTAATAATTATTTGTCTTGTGTTGAAAATAACTTAGAATCAATCAGCAAAGATTTGATATCATATATTTGCTCTTTCCTAGAACAAATAATTTGCTTCTCGGGTATATTTTTAGCACATCTAAGAAAAAGTGTTCAAGTAGAAAATCTCAAATAAATTGCCCACAAGGAGCACTTTTCAGCAGCCAAATGACATCTCGTGTAACGAATGGTACATCGTATTTCTTGGTCATTTCTAACATGATCTTTCGTTTCGACAAGAGTACTTTTTCGTGGGTGGAAATATAGCGGGGCGAGTTCGAACTCCTCCCTCAAATGACGTCATGAGATGTGCTCTAAGTGTATGCGCCCAACATGCTTCCGACGAATGACGGAAAAGTAATTTTTTTTTATATTTCTTTAGAACTTCTTGCTGTGGGGTAAGAGAAACTACATCAACTTTTCTGCCATATAAAAGTAAGGAATTTCGTCGAGAATTTCAAATCGATTTAAAATCATTTGACGGTTACAGGTTTGGGAATAGAAACAATTCTTTCCTGTTTATTTATATCTGTTTGAACTTTAAAATATTTCTTAAAGGTAAGAATTGTTTTGTTAATTATTAGATCATTTTTTAAATAAATATATTTATTGAAATGTTTTTATAATGTTATAGTTTGCAGTTTCGAATTACTTGCGAATGCTGTTTAATAGTTAGATTAATTTGTGAAGGAAAATAATTGTATATTTGTCTTTTAAAAAAGTTAAATAGTTACAAAAATGTTAAAAAGTTCTCTTAAAAAAAAGTTGAAAATTTTATTATTTAATTAATAAGAAATTATGAACGCAATAAACTACCCTACGTGTATAGAAAGTTACATCTCTAATAAATATGAAAAAAAGAAGAAAAAAAAAAAGAAAGAAAATATAAACAAAAAAGCTATTTCAAGCTTTAGAAAATCTTCTTCTGTAAGTGTCAATGTAATTATGTGAATTTTCAGTTACATTTGTGGGCATTACATCCAGTTACATTATTTTCTTCAAATGTATGTAAATATCGACACATGTAAAAATAACTCGAAGAAAAAATGATTCTTTTAAAAAAATTTCCTTGTAGTGTTCGCCTATTTGAATTTTAAACATATTTTATCGGTAGTTTATTTCGAGTTAATAAATTTCTTACTATTCTTTATTCCTACATGTAAAAATCAATATTTCAATCGAAAAAAATATTTCTTCTTTAATATACATAGATTCAGCATGTTATTATATTGATGTAGAATTTCCGTATTTAATCTTAACTTAGCAGAATTTCTTTATTTAAACTTAATGAACTAGGGTTTTTTTTTAAACATATAATTCCTTTTTAAACAAATTAATTGCTTACTTCTTATTATAGGTTGTAAAAGCTTAGAGCGAAAAATATTCCGATGTAAATCAAGAAACAAAACACATAATTTATTTAAAATCATCAATATTCCTCAATGATCATCAATATCAGGATGTTAAGTAGTGCCTGTACTTTATACTTATATTTAAAATCCTCGTCAAATATTAAATAAAAAAATATACACGTTTGGGGAGCAGAAATTTGCGGAATCCCAAGTGTTGAAACATAGATAAAAAGCATTAAAACCAGTTTTATTACCTGATATAACATGAATGCGTTTTTCATAATTGCCTTTCCATTCCTTTCTTTTTCTTTTGGCATTCAGACAGGGTAAAATTGCAGAGCGTACTTGTTGCATTTGAAAAGAAATCAGGGCATATAAGCCATATTCAATATGCAAAAAACTGCTTCTTTAGTATTGTTCCCAGTCGAGTAGTACTTTACAAGTTTGTGGAATTTTCACAAAAGTGGCGGCATAATGCATATTAACTCTTATTGTTTGCTGTTAAATCACCCAATGCGATCACCTAATGCGATCTCATGAAGAATTTGAAAAAGTGGCTTATCGTTAAATTGAACAAAACATCAAACATACGTGGGGACTCAAAACACTCTTATGAACATTTTGCAATAATGTCTCATCATTAACTTGAATGTAGCGTTTTAATCAAACAATCAAAAATTTCATATATATTTATACATTTAATGAAACTTTTCGAGCTATTCAAAAAGGGGAAGCTATATAATAAAGGACTCAGCAAATTTTTAGGTCGTGTAAACCTCTTATCAATATAGTATTTCCCACGAAGAAAAAAGTGGTAGTAAAATTAAAGTATGATATGGCAATGACATTTCTGATAAGTAAATCATAGTTATGATAATAAAAGCAAGAATATGCGGTATTTAAACCATTAATTTGGTAATTTTTTCGTTCATATGGTAACGTTTAGTGGAAATTCTGATTTTCAAAGTTCTTATTTCTACACATTTAACAAAAAATTCGAAACTGAAAAGTTAATTTAACCAAATAAATTACATTTATTTCATTCTTTGAAGATATCATTACAAAACTACTACATTTAGTACTAAAAATCATGGTAATAAAACCACATTTTATTGTTAATTTTACAAAAATCGCTACCAAAGCACTTCAGTCAAAATTTTTGGTGTTCCCTTAGAGCCATGAAGGCACGATAATTTGTACCATATTCCGGTACTTAAACCATACTTTTCCCCAATGCATGAATGTGTAAATACTGTATAGATTGTTGTCCCCCATGATTGTATGATAATTATATCTAATTATTTACTTCCATTTCTTGATGTATTTCCAAAGCATTCTACAGAAGAAATAATGAATTCGTTATTCACACAGTTCTGCGTGTAATTATTTATTATATTTATTTACAAACTTTTAATTTTAAGTTTTGAATATGCCAACCAAAACACTATATCAAATAAGATAAAAAATTTTTCAAAAACAACGAACAAACAATGCAATATGCATTTATAATAGTCTTTAATATTACAATAATACAACAATTGCAATAGTTATTTAGTTTTTGAAACATAATATGACCAGGAAAACTTATAGCACTTTGTTTAAAAATGTGCAATTCAAGTATCAGGCTTGGAAAATTTAATATTAGTTACTTAAAAATAGATGAACCAATTCGCGTGGAGTGATTTTTCGTCATCAAACATTTATATTTAATCAATTATTTATAACTTCTTTAAGTGACATACGTGGCTTTAAATATAAAATTTTTAAGCAGGTCACAATTATGAATTTTCGTTTGAAAGTTAGTCTTGCACTTTTTCAGAAACTTTAATATGGAGTTCATGAAAAAGTTTTGCTGTTAGAACAATTTAATATTTTCAGTGTTATAGTGTTATATTTGCATACTAGTTTCGTTAAAAATTTGGCAGGAAATATAATAATATAATTTTTATATCATTTGTTACGTAATTAAAACGCTCTTTCGACGTTCTATGGCAAATGGCCTTTATAAATTTGTTTTGTACAATAAACCCAGTGAAAACGTTTTATTTTCAAAATTATGCAAAAATCTCAGAGAAACGAGCTAAAATATCATCAGCAAGGATCAGAAAATTACCGTTAATTGCTAAATTTTTTCTTTAGTTAATTAGATTTAGTATTTAGCTAAAAATTGAATTTAATGGTTTGTTTTTGGTAGCATAGCTTGAAATCCATCTTTTAAGACAAGCTGAAAATTCCATTTTGTTAAAATTTGTTATATTTTATATGACCTCAACAAGTAATTATAATATAACTAGATGTTAATATATTTCGTATAGCATAATAAGAGTAATTATATTAAACTTAATTTACTCTATCATAGTATGCACACTGTTTTTTACTCTGTACTAATTTTATGTAAAAACATTATTTTATATAATTTATTTGTGATTAGACTGTATATTTATTAATAAATAAATTCATAACTTATCCATTTTAGGATTTATTTTTCTCAACTTCTTAACAATGAAAATCCTTTTTAATTATTGTGATCTTAAAGATTTTACAAACTTTATGTCTTTTTTATGTAATTATATATATATATTTCCCAGTGTTATTAATGACGACTTGACGACTATTTTTATTGGGATCATTAATGATTATTCTTTTTAATGATATTTGCAATAAACTCCGAATAGCCTTGAAAACTTCCACTAAAAGTTAAGTCATTAAACATTAAGTTAAAAATTTCCATTAATTTGCATATAATAAGAGAAGTTTATGACTATTAATGATCTTTGTTTTCCTTACCATTATTAATGAATATTGAGGATTAATGAATATTGCGATTATTACGAATATATCATTAAAATGAAATTTTACAGCAATTGTTAAGTTCCTTAAGTTATTTTCTTCTCAACTAATAAAGAAGTAAAAGTCTATTGGAGATACAGAAGAATTCATTCTATGTCTTCGTTTGTTATTTCAGCTTATCATTATGTTTGATCGAATCTCTCGAGTTCAATTAGACTAAATAGTTACCATTTGATTATACTCTATAGATCTTTAAGAGTAAAAATGGATAATTCTGATCCTCAATACTATAACTGGGAAATCGGATTTATATTTGGCATAATAAACACATCTGAATTTATAAAAGATCAGATCTGTGCAATCTATGGTATGTTTTGCTTTTCTGCCAGTTTGTCGATTTTATTTAGTTGATAATATACTTTTAAAAGTAAAATATTTTATGTAGGGGCGAAAAAAACAAATTTGACGACTTTTCGCTTTCTGCATGAAATTGACGAACTCTAATTCGTTTCAGTAGGTTCTAGTATGGACCCTTGTTCCAACATTCCTATCTTCATTATTCAAATAAAATACACTAATAAAAATAATTAATCAATAACTACCCTAAAACATTTATTGAAAGTGCTCTTTGATTCTATGGTAATTACACTTTTATTACTTATACGGCTGTTTTTCGAAAACTCTGTTAAATGAAATAATGTTTTTTTTTCCTTTTTTTTCTTCCGAATAATATGCTATTTTCAAAACTGATGTGAGATTTCGCGCCAGTTACTCATGACTGCTAGGCTGGAGTTTGCCTATTTTAATCCAGCACCCTCTAGGCCTATTCTGAAAAATGTCGCAAAAATGTCAATTCGAAGAAAGGCCACAGTTTTGAGAAAATGAAAAGCGTTTGTGGTCTAATTTGTTAATATTTGAAATTTTTATTCCAATGCTGCATTTTTCTGGCCTCATAAAAATTTGAAAAAAAAATGAGAATAAGGAATTGATTTTGATAATTTCACTCTAGATGGAAAAATGCCATCTAACTGGTGATTTAAAAAAAAATTATTTAAATACTTTTAAAATATTTAAGTTATTTGTTTAATATTAATGTTAGTGTTTGTTAAAATATTTAAGTTATTCTGGAGTTCCCCTGTCTTCTGTATTGGATTCAAAATTACAAGGCTACGGAGATGAACATTGGTAGCCGTAAACTCAAAATTTGGGTAGCTGTTCAACGACGGTTATAAAATAAAATGAAACATGAACATTAGTATATATATTTCCGTATACTAGGGTGACCCTTTCTCTCAACTTTTTCAAAGTTTAGATCTCATCTCCTTATCTTATTTCCAATAACAAAAAGAAGATTTGTGCAAAATTTTACATCAATTGGACAACTACGAGGCAACCCTCTTTGACTCTGAAGTATTG